TGTAAGATGGCTGGCAGCCCACGAGCAGCACAGATTCTCTTCTCAACGGTATTGGGATTTTGTTCCTTTCCTCAGTTTCTGATTGTCCAACAGCTGTATGCAGCAGCTCCCCATGACCTGGCAAAGGCACATGCTGGTGTGTCAGTATGTCTGCATCTGTTTGTCTGTGCACGTGTACATACATTTGCTTGTGGCCATCTAGTGGACATTCCACAGTGTGCTGCTTCGGGCTGGGACCCTCTCGTGCTCAATCAACAATGCCCATAACGTGAAAGAACGCTGGTGAAATGCTGTGCTAAAGACACCATGTAAGATTTGGTGAAGAAAAATTCACCATTAGCTATTTCGGTGTTTTCTCTGAAGGCACGAGGAGTGCTTGGGCAGGGAACATTACTGTTTGTTTGTTAGAAAGACAAAGCATAGCCCCTCTCAGCTTTGAAAATAGAAGCCAAGAAAATTACTGTAACCAACAAAAGTCTTAGATTGTGCTCACTGAAACAAGCACAGTAACACCCTAGATGCCTTGAAGAATCCCTTTGCTGATTAAGATTCCTGGCTCATGTCTACTCTCAAGCAGATTTCTCTCTTTAGCAGACAGTGTTTCAGGAGCTGATTAGGTAAACAAACTAATATGATGAATGTGGATAACAAGGACACATTGAGTCTCATGTTCCTTTGCGAAATGAGAGATTCCTCCTACTACAATTTGCTCTTCTGCACTATCAATAATATAAAGGAGTATCGGTCATCATTTGTGCTTCAGAGGAGGAACCTGGCAAGAATAACCTTGCCAATTTTTGCTCTGAAGTGCTGTGACCCTGCGATGCAGTGCACAGTGCCTATGATTTGACTGCCTGGGGCAGTGGGCACTGAGGATGAAAATTAGATGATGGTAGGATTAGAAATATTCATGTTTGTAACACTTTCCAATACTGCTGGTTTTGGTAGGGGTCTGAGAAAGACAGGCATGTGGAACAAGCACCCAGGAGACGATGCTGAAGGTGCTGGCATTTGCTGCAGCTAGTGTGCTCACATGGCTGAATCCAAAGCTAATGTGTCCCGTGGGAAAGAAAACATGAAATCTGGAATGCTGTCAGAGTAATGGGACAGGAACAGTCATCTGCTGATAGTCATCAGCAGAGGTACAAGTTTCATGAGCATTAACCCTTGGAAATATCCCAGCGCATCACTGAAACATTCCCCTTTCCTGCCTGATGAAGGTCAGCCAGGAAGAAGCTCCAGACCCTTTTCTAAAGCGAATTGGAAAATGAGCTCCTGCAGGCTGGAGTGACCAAGCCTTTCCTACCAAATGTTTCACAGAATGTTTTCTTCTGACATACCAAATCTCACCTCTTGCTGCCCTGTTTCCTCTTTCCTGTTCTTGGGAAAGGGTATGGAGAAGGTGGTTTTAGCCAGTACAGCTGGATGAATTTCTACAGTGTTCCAGCAGACGGGGACAAGGGGTCTTCATGTGTGCCTGCGAAGAGACAAAGAGGCATCCCTCAGAGCCCGGTCAGCTTTCCCTTCCTTCGGCGCCTTACCCCCGCCCAATGCTGTCTCTGTTCGGTCACTCCCTCTAGCGTTCATCTCCACCCTACGACATCATGAAGTCCTTTTCGCATCCTTTACTAATTCAAGAAATTTTTACCCCTTATTTCTGAAATATCTCTCCTTATTCAGATCTATGCTTAAAAATGTCTTTAAAGAAGTTGGTTCTTAGGTATTCTGGTCACTGCCAAGAAACCAAGGAATAGCAAGACAGATTTACCTACTTCAATGTTATCCAGTTTCTGAGGATAGGACTTTTGGAACAAGCATCCTATCTTTCACAGAGGTGAAATTAATAGGATGCAAATTATCTTAAGCAGTAGACTGTTGGTCCAAAAAATGCCTTTGCCCACCAGATTGTGATAGCTTTGCAAAACATCAGATATGCTTCAGTAAACACAGTCTGAAATTAATAATGGGTGTTAGGTCATGAAGTGTGGAAGTACAAACCCAGTCCTTTCAGCATACCCAGTGCTGTGTCATGGAGAACCAGAGGAAAGCAAGTGAAAGGCAAGCTGCAAGGGTAAATACAGCATTTCACAAAGCTGAGCACATGGGGTGGGAAGGGGCAAGTCCAAATATAGACAGAGTTAACGTTACTAGAAGCAGCCCAAATTTTATGAAGTCAGAGGAAGCTGTAGAACAAACGTCTGAAAGCAAAAACATCTTCAGCTGAAGAAGACAAAATACCAAAATTTCAAGTAAACTGAAAAACAACTATAAAGGAAGGAAAAGTGGGATACCTGCAATCAATACCTGTATTTTCAGAAGTTGTGACTGATGCACCAACACCACTTTAAGTACCTCAGCACTAATAAACCTGTTGCACAATTCCGCTCAGAATGGAGGCATAGGAAAATTTTGGTAATGTGTCAAGAGATTCTGAGAAAAGAATAAGATCTTCCCCCAAAACAAAGCCTTAACTGAGGAGCTATATGACTGAGAGCAAAATCACAAGATTGGGCCCCAGAGAATAACTCTGCCCATCCACAATGGTGTTGCACTGAGTCTGCAGGTGCCATACTGGAGCTTATCCCACCATGATGTGTGGTATGGGGTGGTGGTAGAGGAGCTGGGCTGGGTCCTGGCCTTGGAATATTTGACATTGAGCACCACTACTTTCACTTGAGATCCTATCTGAGGTTAAGGTCCTGGTGTTAAAACAAGACGGACAGCCCCTCCTGCTAGAAATTCTGCCATTTCAATGTTTCTTTTTCCCACTTCAAAACCATGAGGAAATTCCCATCAAATTTCAAAAATTGATTTGGGAAATCTAATGACCTTACAAGGCTGTTGATGTCATTTTGATTTGCCCATTTGGCATTGTAGCGTAGATCTTGCTTGTTACATGGATGAGATTAAAATACAACACTGAGAAGAAACCCATAGGTAATTTTGATTATGCTTTCACTGACCAGAGGCAGCATTTATGTATAACTGAATCAGCATTTTGTCAGAAAATTGTCCACCAGCGCCAGTCCAAATTGGTCTGCCTATGGCAAAACCTGGGCTACCTCCTGCATTTTTTTGCTCATGCTGGGGGAGAAGAGATGTTCTGTTGCTGCAGGTTTTGGGGCAGCACTAAAAGAGACCACTGCTGTAGCAGGATTGAGAGCCATGGAGCAAGGGGGAGCCTGAGGAGCATGGAGTAAGATGTTTGGGGAAACGAGGCAGGAAGAAGGGAAAAAAGGCAGGTGGTGAAAGCCTCAGTGAGGAAGCACCTGAAGATAAGAATTGAAGAGATTTTTAAAAGTTGCCCACTTGGTACCTGGTGGGAAAAAACAAACAAACAAAAAAAAAAACTGTGTCTGATTGAAAATCCCAGTGAACATTTGTGCAAGCCGTTCTGGGTACATGGAGAGGTGTCACTTCAGCTCCAGACCAAGGCAGATCAGCAGGTGCTGTCCTCTGGATTTTGCAGGAAGCATCCTGGCTGTAACATCCCCTCTGCTGGGCACAGGGGGTCTTCTGCCAGGACAATCTGGGATCACAGCTGCCGAGCCCATGTTTTCCATCCCTGCAGGGGATGCTGTGCAGTCTCTTCTGGGCAGGCAGGTGAAAGAGGTGAGCTCACTGTGCTCTGAAGGGGCCTGGCAAGGCTGCACCCAGACAAAGGTCTCACTGTCCCCACGAGCCAGGGGTCTCAGAGCCCTCTGTGCTCCCCCCTGCAGCCCCTGCTCCCCCACAGCTGAGGCAACAGAGGGTTAAGCTGTCAGCTCTGTAATGTTAAACAGGTGTCAAAGGCACCTCCATATATCTGCAGATTGAAATCAAATTCTTTGCAGTATAAAAAGATAAATTACCCAGGCGATTCCCGCCTCATCCCACTCATCAGGCCAGCGCCAGACGGCAAGCAATTTTTTTTTTTAATGTGCTAACGACCTAATCAAGCAATCAAGTTGGAGAAGATTGCGGAGTGACCCCGAGCATCCATCTGCCAGCGAGACCCCGCCATTCATTTCCATTCTGCCGTGTACTTTCCGGGAAAGGGAGGGAAAAAATAGGAGGAAAAAAAAAATCCTAAACAAATTAACACCCAATTTTCTGTGAGTCTAATTAGTTAAATGAGGAGGTGTTTGGGGTGTCCACAGGGAGGGAGGGGCTGCCTTTTGGAGAGGCGACTGGTAACTCCATGGCATTAATTAGCGCAGGTCAATGGCGTGGTTCCCCAGGGACCTGCTGCTTTAATTTCCCGTGATATTTCAGTGCCTGAGGCCCATCGATTCAAACTGAAATTAACTTATTTTTCAATCAGGCCTGGGCTGCCCCTGGGGCTGACTCTTCCTTTGCCTCCTTCTGAATAGACCTCGAGCAATTTTTCATCTAAAGCTGATGCCTCCGCTCTGTGGGAAGGGAGGGGTTGTGGGGAGGGAGGAGGGCAGGCAAGACAAGAGGGATGGAAATCGGAGAGCGAGCGCTAATAGATTTCTGTGAGCCACCCCCTGCCTCCGCCCGCGTCTCTGCTCGCTGCCCCCCAGGTCACAGCTCGGAGATTATTCTGCCAATTTTCTGAGAAGATGTGGGTCTTTTCAAACAGGGAATTCAAGGCAAGCGGCACAGATCAGCTCCCTCTTCTCCTGCCTATCCAGAGCATCTCCCCCAGCTCTGCTGTCCCTGTGGCACTGCAGCACACAGCCCCTTGCTGCAGTTCACGCGCCCAGTAAATAATGAAAGCAAATCCCAGACACGAGAGCCAAACTCTGCTGGAAAAAAGACAGCGCAATGGCAAATTAATTACATCCTGCAGGGAGGGATGGGACCTGCTCTCATGCTTGGCCCTTGTTGTTCCTGCAAGGAGGAGGGAGAGAAATACCCAGTGACTGTTGTATGAGGCTTTTGGGAAGGTGTACATGTGCCTATCTTCATCCTCTTGCACAAGCACACGTGTGCAGGGATGGGATATCACATCTGCTGCCCCCGATGCTCACATCCCTCCCTATCCTCCACTCCAGGTCTGGTTCCAGAACCGCCGGGCTAAGTGGCGGAAGCGAGAGAAGTGCTGGGGCCGGAGCAGCGTGATGGCCGAGTACGGACTCTATGGAGCCATGGTGCGTCACTCCATCCCGCTGCCTGAGTCTATCCTCAAGTCAGCCAAGGACGGCATCATGGAATCGTGTGCCCCGTGGCTCCTGGGTAAGAGAGCAGCCAGCCTCACAGGGGTGGCAAGGAGGTCAGGATGAAGAGGGGTGTGAGGAGAAAACTTGATGGGATTCCAGCTTGCTCAGGATCCCTGCAAAGTTGTACAGAGTGCCAAGACCTCTCTTGCACTCATCCCACTTCCCTTCCTCTGGGCACCCACAAAGCTGGACTGCTGCCCTGTTTTGCTTTGTCTGCTGTGGAGGAGGGATAGTGGATGTAGTGGTTACCCTAATGTGCTCCTGCTCTTTGCTTCCTACTTTCTGAACTTTCAGGCTGGTTTTGTCCCAGAACTGACTGTGGGCATCTTAACAGTGGGCTGTCCTTCTGTCTGCATGAATCTGAGGAGGCAGGGGTGGGTTGTATGAGGAACTGATAGAGAAAGGCAGGGAAACCTCCCCAGATCCAAGTAGCAAATGACCCCAGGGACCCAGGCCCCTGCTGTATCTAAGACCCTCATCCCTACTGAGCCAGGGCTGCACTTGCGCGGGGCCAGAGTGCCTGGCGTGCCATGACTGCTGTTTGAAGCAAGGGTTTCTGCTTTCCTTAATTCTGGCCTCTCTTTATCTTTGCTGTTTTCAGTTCAAGATGGCTTTCCCATGCCCAGGCGCTTTTCTAAACCCGAATACCAACAATTCTTTTTAGGGATGCACAAAAAGTCTCTGGAGGCAGCGGCTGAGGCGGGGAGGAAGACGGAGGTGGAGCGCCAGGCCCTGCCCAAGCTTGACAAGGGTGACAAGGAAGAAAGGGGCTCGGATCCCAAAACCGCCATTTCCCAGGAGGAACTGAGAGAAAACAGCATTGCCGCCCTCAGGGCCAAAGCTCAGGAGCACAGCACCAAAGTCCTGGGGACCATTGCGGGGGACACCCCAAGGAAGCCGGAGAAAGGGGAGGAGGTGGCAGAGGATGAGAGGCAGACCGAGAAGTCCAGTGCATCACAGAAGGAGGAGAAGCTGATCTAGGGAAACAGAGGCTGTGGAAGCCAGCCCTGGCAGATACTGTGCCCTCTGGGGGTCACAGCCCCCTCTGATGGCCAGGCCTCCTGGCTGCACCCACCCAGAGTGTGGGGCCCTGGTTTCTTCATGTGGGGCTACCCAGGGGTGCCCCCAGCCTGCTTCCCTGAAGCACAGCCCTGTCCTTCACTCCTCCACTCCTAGGGCTTTCCTTACCCCAGCCCATCCCCATCTCCATCTCCACCCCAGGGCAGGCTGCGGCTCCAGGTCCCTGTGGTTGTGGGTCTGGGTCTAGCTTAAGGCCCCATCCAGCCCCCTCCAGGCCAGTGAAGCCCAGTTCCCCTTCACCTCACACTGCATTCCGCTGTGTTCCACACCCCAGAGGACCCCACTGCCCCTGGTATGATAAGTCCATGGCCCTGTGTGTGTGAAATGCTGAGCCTCTGCTATACAGCTCTCCCAGCTCAGCACTGACAGCTGCTGGGATGGGGCTGCAGGTTTGGAGGGGCTGATTTTTGCCTCCATTATGTGAGGAAATGCAGGTTTAGCTTGCAGACACCATGTCTCCTTCCCTGCTCACACCTCCAATGACCCCAGCCTACACTGTCATCTTCCCCACATGCACTCGGAGGCCAGTGCCACACACAGTTAAACCCTCTCAGAAAAGACATTTTCCCAAGGTATTTATTGAAGTCAATTTGCCCAGCTCTCCTTCTGAGCCCTGAAGGGAATGACAGCCATGCAGACGCAGCCCTGGCACACGCTGTAATGTGTACATACGTCTCCTCACCGACCCCACGTGTGCACGCAGACCCATGCAGCCAAACCTGCTGTTCTTCACAGCATCTTGTGCTGACATCTCCCTTCTGTCCCAATCAGGCACCATCTTCCCAGAGCTGCTGTTTTAATTCTGTCAGAATTAACTTCTTCCATCCAGTCCCATTTGTCTTTGTCACCCGTTTGTTTGACATGTTAGATTATAGCCCATGGTGTGTAAATAATGTACATACAGTGAGAAAAGAATTCAGTATTGAGGTGTTTGAGATATGGAGCTGTAATAACTTCTAGTCATTCAGAACCTGTGATTTATGTGCCATTTTCTGTAAAGATACAAACAAGAATAAAATTAAACTGGAATATGGTGTGTGAGTCTGGTCACTTTTTCAAGGAAAATGAATTCAGCCAAAGCTGAGAAGGGTGAGGTTTCAGACCTTACCCAGAAATACTTCAGTGAGCTCTAAGCAGCACAAAGAGATGCTGGACCCAAAGGAAAGGAGGGCAGAAGAAAGCTGTAATGAGGCAGGAGCAGCTTCGCTCCACTACACAGGTGCTGGGGATCTCAGAGTGAGGAGATAGGCTGCAGTATTTCACCCAAGCCTGCCTCCTGCTCCACCAAGACCTCAATTAGTGCTGCTACAAGCTGTTCTAAGGCATTTAGAAGAGGTAGAGAGCCCAGCCAGCTTTGTGGAGAAACGGTATGTGCCCAGCAGATGGATGGGGTATCTCATCCAGGTGACAGCTGCAGGAGATAAACCTGGGAAGCAGCTGAGGCAGCCTGGCCCAGCACCTGTTTCCATGGGCAGCCCAAGCGCGCGCTGCAGCTGGCTGCTATCCAGGGAAGGCCAGCAGGACTCAGATTAGCATGAAGGTTATTTTCAGTCAAATAGTTATAAAACCCACCCCTTCCTCCCTGTTTATAGGGATTGGGTTTCTTTCCCTGTGCTGTTCCAGCAGTGAGGAGGTGCACGGGACAAGGGGTGCCCTAGGCTCCCAGAACAGGGGCTCTGCCTGGGTTCCAGCTCCCATAGGGGTGGAACTTGTCAGGACTCTGAGTACATATCTCCTTAGGAAGAGTTGAAACTCATCTGCTGCACTGTGACTATGGCCTGGCTGCTGACTAGGGCTTGCTGCCCCAGAGCTTTTCCATGGGCTTCCAGATGTCTCTATGGGTTGATGAGTGCTCGGTCCTGGAGCCAGGGTCCTCTTACTGCCTACATGCCAGAAGCTGCCTCCTTCCCGGAAGCTCAGGATCACCAGGGCTTGTACAAGACATCGGTGGAACAGGGGGATGCCTTCTGGGGAGCACTGGCAAGGAGTCGGCTCTCCTGGATCACCCCCTTCCACTCTGTCCAGGACTGTGATCTGCAGCAGGGACGGGCTGCCTGGTTCCTGGGAGGGCAGCTCAACGTGGCAGGTGAGGGGACCTGATGCCTCACAGATGGGCTGAGGGTGAACTGGGGAGGGAGGGTGCTTCTTACCCTACCCCGGAGATCGGGGGGGGGGGGGAAGGCCTGCCTGCATGTTGTCTTATGGGAGGGAGCTCTCTGCCTGCTGTGTACTGGGGGAGTCCTTTTGATCTTTAGCCCATGAGAGCCCAGTGACGGCACCAAGCTGTGCCAGGGGAGGTGTGGGATGGATAGCAGAAAGAATTTTATAGACATTGGACTGGGCTGCCCAGGGAAGTCAGGGGACTACTGGGGATATTTAAGAGATGTGTGGATGTGGCACTTAAGGATGTGATTTAGTGGTGAACTTGGTAATGTCAGGCTGATGGCTGGAACTAATGATCTTAAGGGTCTTCTCCAACGTAAGTGATTCTGTGATTGTAAGTGTCTGTAGATACCATCCTGTGAAGTGCTGTGGCCCCAGAAGCAAAACGTGCTAGAGTGATGGAAGTCCCCCAAAAGTCCCATTGGCCCTCTTAGTCATGGGATACTTCTCCTTACTGCAAAAGGGTGCTACCAGAGGAAAAGAAGAGACTGGTGGCACCGTGCTCCTGCTTGCACTGCTGTTGGTTCCAGAGCTCAAAAAAGAGTACAACAAAACTTCCCAAAACTAGGTCTTATGAGGCTTATTTGGGCAGGGGAGCTGGAGATTTTCCTGTTCCCACTCCTGGGCTGGTTGGTTTGCTTCTTTTCCTCCTGCAAAGCTACAAGTGTTCAGGAGAAAAAGGTATTTTTAAATGCAGACAGGCTGCTGGGTCATCCCATGGCTTCAGGAGCAGGTAATCTAAGAAAGGAAAAAACTGAATGTAACAAGGTTTCTAATGAGTATGCTATAGCTGGAGGTGCAAGAAACTTCCTAAAAGAACTGCAGCCAAAGGCTGAATACCTCAGTGCCCCTGGGAGGCCAGTGCTGTACATGAATGGCTCTGCTTTGTCTTGCACTCTGCAATCTTCATACACAGATTTTCTCCACATCCTACATTTGTTATTTAGGAGCATGGCTGCTATAAGGGTAGCCAAATTTCACTGTAGAGGCAGTAGCAAGGGCAGAATGGTGGACAAGTTAATGTTTACCAGGCCTTCTGGGGCCCACAGCTGGCACTATGGATGTGACCTTCAAGGGATTTAAGGCAACTCCTGCACCAAGCTGTGTTAGGTTGTGGTTAAGAATGCTGATAGTGGAGTTCAATGTGCACTGGGAAACTGAGGAGTGCAACAGGCTAAGGTGCCAGCTAGTACCTGCAGAGGCTGTGCTACTGGGAACAGGAAGTTCTGGCAGTGATACTGAGTCATCTTTTCCAGTGAACTGCTTGGACCGACATGTCCATGTAGCCCCAGACAAAGTGGCCTTAATATGGGAGAAGGATGAACCAGGAGAGGAGTTGCGGGTCACATACAGGTCAGTGCATACCTCTGAGCACATGTGAGACATGCACACACGGCAAAGGTCTGCTTCACTGATGTGTGTCCTGCAAGAGGACACAGCATCTCTTCCCATAAGTGGATCACCAGCGTGGCGGCTGCTGACCTGCCTGTGCTACTCTGAGGCATCAGCCTGTCTCCTGGTCATCCCTGTGGGGTCCCTGCCAAGGTTTCTGGTGACTGAGAGATAAATGCTCTACAAGGAAGGCTTGGCTGGCAGGGTTTGCCAACCTCCTTTCATGGAGAGACCTTCTATGAAATGAGTCACTGACAGCCAAGTTCTTGTTTCAGGCAGTGACATTGTCTTGCTCACAGTTTCCTACAGCTGTTCTCACTGGTAGGCAGAGCTCTGGAGGATTTGACCTTCCCACCTATAACTGAGCAAAGGGCCCGTTTTCATTTGCTGGGTGAAGATATCTGACTACTCTTGCAAGCCCCTGGCCTTGCAGGGCAGGGTGTGTCACTCCCATTGTTGTAAGGGCTGGTGAGAAATACCTAGGTTGTCATTGGAGAAGTCAGTAGAGGCGTGATAGACAGGCTGAGCCATAGGGATTGCTAGTGGCCATTACTGGATCCAGGGCTGGCTTCTACTGCTATTAGCGGCAGTGCCAGGCTCTGCACACAGACCCTTCTGGTTAATTTCTTTGCCATAAATAACAGCCTGTCTCTGGTGATGCTCTCCTACTTCCTTCCCACTGCTATTTTGCAGCTGTAAAAGGACTTAGAAGAACTTCCTGCACAGGGCGCTGAAGTGCAGACCTGTGGCTTTAGAGCCTTGGGAGGCTGGGGCACCCCCAGCTCATACGCCTCTGTGCATACGAGGCGGATTTGCAAGAAAGTCCCTAACTATGCATTGCTTCTTTGGGCAGGGAGCTGCTGGAGCTGACATGCCGCCTGAGCAACACCCTGAAACGGCAGGGGGTGAAACGAGGTGACAGGGTGACAATCTACATGCCTCCGTGCCCATTGGCAGTGGCCAGCATGCTGGCATGTGCCCGAATAGGGGCTGTGCATGCTGTGGTGTTTGCTGGGTTCAGTGCAGAGTCCCTGGCAGACAGGATTCGGGATGGTAAGAGCCGATGGGGAATAGGGACACCATCCAGCATTGCCACCTGGGGACACCACTGAGCTTGTTTGTTTGGCAGCTGGGGGCTTAGGGGAATGAGCTTTGCCAAGGTGCAGACTTGATATGGATCAGTGCTGTTGGGGGGGGGGGGAGGGGGGGAGGAGGGGCGTCCTGTTGTGTTGCATGGCCACAGAGCAGGCAGCAGTACTCCAGGAAAATGGCAGGGGGCTCACTGAGTGTCTTTCATCCCATGGGAAGGGTGCTTGGCAGAGTTAGACAGGTGGTGTGCTGTGTGGAGGGGGAACAGGTGCTTACTTATGTGGCTCTTCTGCAGCCCAGTCGGAGACGGTGATCACAGTGAACCAGGGGCTGAGAGGTGGCAAGGTTGTGGAGCTGAAGAAAACAGTGGACCAGGCTGTGAAGCACTGCCCAGGAGTGAAACGTGTCCTTGTGTCCATGAGGACGGACAGCCAGCTTCCCATGACAGCCCTGGATGTTCTGCTGGAGGAGGTGAGGGTCTGCCCAGGGCTCCTGCCACTCCCTTGGGTATTGCTCAGATGTTGGGATCAGGGTAGGGTGGAAGAGTGGATCTTGAAGCAAAGAGGGATCACTGTCCTATAGCAGTGCAGCTGCATGTGAGTTCAGGACTTTCCCAGAAGAAGTAATTGGTAGCTTCCTGCAGCAACTGTACTGTTGGGCAGGCAATGTACAGCCTTTGCTCATCAGCTCTGAAAGCAGTTTGTGCTCAAAAGGATTTCTGGGAGGCCCTTGTGCTGGGCAGAAAAGTAGCTGCGTAAAAATAGCTGCCTCTTACTCAGCAAGTCTGCTCTGATGGAGGAAAGCGTCTGCCAGTTCTGCAAGGCAAGGGAGTTCAGGCACAGAAGGGGAGAGGAGATGCAGAGGAAAGATGAAGTGGTGGCAATGGGTGGTCTGGGTGCCAGAGAAAGGCTTGGGGGCCTGTGAAACAGCTCAGGGAGTCTGTAAGACCCTGAGTGGGGACTGCTGTGCTGACTCTTGCAGGAGATGATGAAGGAGGATGCATACTGTGAGCCAGTTGCCATGGACAGCGAAGACATGTTGTTCCTTCTCTACACATCTGGCAGTACAGGCAAGCCCAAGGGCCTGGTTCATTCCCAGGCTGGCTATCTCCTGTTTGCTGCTCTCACACACAAGGTAATGAATCCTATGCACACAGTGCTCATAAGCCTGCTATTCATAGGCAGTGCAGGGAATAGATGTATCACCTTTTCGCTCCATGAGCTCATCTTTATCCAGAGCAAAGCATGATAGCAGCCTGGCACATCCACATACAAGTAGAGAAGAACAGCAACATGTTCTCCTGCACTGGGACTCCTGAATACATACTCCTCCAAGCTGCCATCTTGGTTTGCCTCTTTTTTACTGCCTCAACCTAGATCAAATCACTGGGTGTGTTGCTCAGCCTTACTGCTGTCCTGGGGTGGAAAAGCAGGGAGCAAGCTGCATGTGCCCATGTTAGCACTCAAGAATGTTGGAAACCATGACACAGGATTGGTGTGAATCCCTGCTTAGGTGAAGGGGACAGACTGTTGCTACTGACAGATTTAAAAACAAACAGACAAAAACAAAACAAAAAAACAGAAAGGGAAGTTTCCATTACAAGCCCTCTGGAGTGCTTGAGGCCCTGGAGAACCCAGCTTCCAGCTGTCCCGTACAAGGAGCTGTCAGCCTGTGCTCCTGGTGCTGAGCAAACAAAATGAAGGATGATGTGCTGCTGCCAGTCTGATGGCATTCAGTTCTGCCCTCCACTGGGCTTGTCTCATTTCCTACTGCTCCAGTTTGCAGCCAACTGTCCTCTGCTTCCTGTGATCCCTCCCCTTGAAGTGTGGAAGGACCATCCTCACACAGAAAGTTCTCCAGTTTTGCTGTTGCAGGATGCTTTATTCAGCCTTGCCTAACATGTTGGGGTGGTGGGAAGGCAGACACTAAAACTGGAGCTTGTGCCCCTTTCTGAGGGGAGGTCCAGGCTCTAGGCTGCACCTCTCACTGTCTCTCCTTCATGTTGCAGTACGTGTTTGACTATCAGGACAGGGATGTCTTTGGCTGTGTGGCAGATATTGGCTGGATCACAGGGCACAGTTACGTTGTCTATGGCCCCCTCTGCAATGGTGGCACCACAGTCCTTTTTGAGAGCACTCCTGTTCATCCCAACCCTGGTGAGTGAGAAGTGTTGTTGGGATGTAGTGCAGCCACCTGCAAGATCTATAGCACGTAAGCGGGCTGGTGGCCTTGGTGCCAGCTCACGTGAGTTAGTTTGGCTGAGGGTCAGAGAACTCTAATTCTCACCTTCTCTCCCTCAGTCTGAAGCTGGGGGATGTGAGCAAGTGATTAGTGGCTATGTTTGTGTTCCAGGACGCTACTGGGAAACAGTGGAGAGGTTAAAAATTAATCAGTTTTATGGGGCACCTACTGCCATCCGCCTGCTCCTGAGATATGGTGATGAATGGGTGAAGAAATATGACCGCTCCTCTCTCAAAGTTCTTGGCTCAGGTGAGCACTGGTGGCATAGGCTGGACTGACAGGAGGTGGAGAACCAACATAGTTTGGGGGTGGCTCTGTGAGCTGCTCCTAGGAAGCTGCAATTTTGACCTTAACCAGGCTCTGTCCTGTTTTCTGATCCCCTTGCAGTGGGTGAACCCATAAACAAGGAGGCATGGGAGTGGTACTTCCGTGTGGTGGGTGAGACACGGTGCCCTGTTGTGGACACATGGTGGCAAACAGGTAAGATGTGTATTGGCCCTGGCTACAGGCATGGCCAGCTTCACTTCTGCCAGGTTTAAAGAGTGACCTGCTGTTTTGTTGGCTAAATAGGAACAATGGTTACTGGCATGGTTGTACAAGCAACCCCTTGAAACAAGGGGTTATGGACACCAAAACATAACCAAGATTTAAACATGATAGAAATTAAACCCAGAGAAACATAGGGGAGATGACCAAAGGGATCTGACCTAAGATGAACTAAATGTGCGGAGAACCTTCCTCAGCTCACTGGCAAACCCTGACCCAGCCTGTAGCTGGCAGGGTACACTGAGATCCAGGGCAAAGGCTGATGTTCAAACAGTACTATCTGGCTTTCCTCTTTCTCTGGCTTTGATATGCATTACACAGGGGTTTTTGTTTTTTTTTTTTTTTTTTTTTTTTTTTTTTTTTTATTCAGAAACAGGAGGCATCTGTATCTCACCCCGTCCTTCTAACCCTGGAGATGAAATCCTTCCAGGCATGGCCATGAGACCTTTTTTTGGCATCAGTCCCTCTGTACTGGATGATAAGGTACATTTATAGCCTTCAGCCCAGCTGCCAGTTCAGCTCATTTTCTTGTGCTTGCCTGTAGCCTGTACTTCTTGGAAAGAGATACGTAAGCACACCATTCTTCTCACCTCTGCTAAATCAGTTCTTTACTGAAAAGGGGTTAATGGTGAAGCTGGTGGCAACCTCTTCCAAGCAGCATGGAAGTGAAGTTGTTTCCTAGTCCTGTGTTCTGACTAGGTGGGCTCTGCTGAGACTTCCTTGCTCAAAACCTGCTGAAGAAGCTGTGAAGGGACAGATAACCTCCCTGGTGGGGCCCTGCAGCCCAGTGCAGTAGGCAGGTGGTTGGAGATGACTGCAGGAAGAGGCTTGGCTTGTCCCTTGGAGCTGGGGCACAGGACTTTCCTCACTGTCTTCCCTGGTATTTCCCCTGTGGGGCTATTATGGCAGTATTGAAAATAAGCAATAGTTGAACAACCTGATTTCTCTCACTGTGGTTACTAAAATGTAACTGTTTTACAGGGAAATGTCCTTTTGGAAAATAATGTCTCTGGAGCCCTTTGCATCTCACAAGCCTGGCCGGGTATGGCTCGAACCATTTATAAAGACCATAAGAGGTTTGTGGAAACCTATCTGGCTCCTTATCCAGGTAAGAAAAATACACAAAGTCCTTGAGGAGGTGCTTGGTGGAGTGTACTTCAGTCTGACTACTAGTTTTCTACATGGGGCAGGACTAGGGAAAGCTGGTTTTGCTGCTTTGCTGTTCCACAGATTTTCAGCAATTCCCCATGATAGAGAGCTCAGCATCACCATGGGAATGGGTCTTTCCCCCCAGCCCCCCTGCCCTGCTATTTGATCCCAGGCTCTTTTAGGACTTTATTTTTCCTTCTGCCTCCTAAATCCTCACTAGCACCTCTTGATGCTTTCCTCCTGCAAATCCTGCCAGCTGCTGATCCTCACCCACAGGCAATGAGAAGGCCTAGGCAAAGGAGATAACCAGCTGCACGAGCACCTGCACAGCATCAAGGTGTTCCTGGCTTGTAGGGACGAGAAAAGTCGATCTTTAGCCAACATACTGCAGAATTAGGGCAAGAGCCTGATGATGGAGCAAGTACCGAGACAGGCAGAAGGCTGACAGTGAAGGTCCCTACCTTCTCCCTTAGCACTTGACAGAAAGGAGTAGAGACCACAAGACCCAGTACTGACAAATAAGTTGTCAAGGAGGGAAAGCTACTGGCTCACAGCTCATTCTAGCTGTAACAAGCAGCTACAGTATGGTTCTGGCCTCTGCAGGGTTCTTCTTCACTGGGGATGGTGTGTATCGCACTAGTGAAGGCTATTACCAGCTGACGGGACGCCTGGATGACATCATTAACATCAGCGGGCACCGGCTGGGCACTGCAGAGGTGGAAGACATTGTGGTAAGAAGAAGTAAAGCTGTCCCAGGGGTGGTGGAGCTGCAGTGGTGGTGCTGAGGAAGGTCTCTGAAACACCAAACCAGAACCGTGGTGCTGCTGGAGCCATTGGGAGCAGTTTTGGACCACTGCTACCTGTGGGAACAACCCTTTCTTCCACTTCCCTGTTCTCCTCCTGACTCAGACTCTTCCTAATGTAAGGCCGCAGGCCTGGCAATGCTGATACCACCTTAGCAAGGGTTAGTTAGGCCTTTTCTTCCCCTTAAGGATGCTCCTGAGTACGTACGCAATAGTTGCATGAAGCCCAGCACTAAGCTTTCCCCTCTGCCAGATCCATTTAATTGGTCTCATTTGGCTTTGAGCTCTGCTGCTCCCATGCTCCATCTCCCTCTCTCTGTAGCAAAGACTGGTAAGTCTCATGCTCTGAGGGGATGAATCCCAAAGTAGCAGCCAAGCACATTTCTTGAAGCAACTATAAGTCAACTATAGCAGCTATATAAAAGTTGTGGGAACTGGTGGAGCAGCCTTGGAGGCACACAAGCGGGACCTTGAAGGTGCAAGCCTAAAGCAGCTGGAGTAGGGGGAGATAAGTTTGCAGAGACCTACTGAAGCAAGGAGAAGATGGGGCAAAGGTCATCAGAGGCCCTTCCTTGTTTCCATGTCACTGCTGACTGCAGTGGAGAGATCAAGAGAATTCCTGGGCAGCAGCTGTGAATTCCACCCCTGTTCTGTTTCAGAACCACCATGTGGCAGTGGCAGAGTCTGCTGTGATCGGCTACTCACATGACATCAAGGGAGAAGGTGAGATGCATGCTTTCCTGAAATGCCACACCAACCCCCACGGCACAGCATATTACTGGGTATCCCCAGCAGTTATCAGAACCTTCATGCAAGGCCAGTTTGGCTTTGTGTAAGGAAATAGTATGACAGCATCTACAGAGATCAGGCTACAAAGCACCTCAGGGCAGGCAGCACAGAGGTACCTTACCCATACAGCCTTGTGGGACCACACTGCACATGGTGGTCTGTAACAGTGGTCCTTCTGCCAGGAGCCTACGTGTTCATTGTGCTGAAGAAGGACAGCAAGTACACGGAGGAAACTCTTGCTGCTGAGCTACAGGAGCTGATCTCCAAGAAGATCGCTAAGTATGCAGTTCCAGAGTACATCCAGGTAACTCCTTCAGGCTGATCAGGACCCACCTCTGCAGCCTGGCTACCCCCTTTCTCTTGGCTATCAACTCTACTCCTCCCTGCTCAGGTCACACGCCGGCTGCCCAAGACGCGCTCTGGGAAGATTATGCGGCGGGTGCTAAGGAAGATTGTTGAGAACAAAGCCAGTGAGCTTGGGGACCTAACCACCCTAGATGACCATGAAGCTGTGCAGCAGATCATAGAGGGACACAAGCACCTTGTGGAGCAGCGGAAGAACTGCTAGTATGGCTCCTCCAGCAGCCACCTCCAGCCCCTTCACTACAGAATTAGGGTCAGGTCCAGAAATGTCACTGAGCAACCGCTGCCCAGTAAGTGCTCAGACTGTACTTCCAGCGCAGTCTGAGAGACCCTCGAGAGTTCTGCCCCCATACACACAAAGGAGACAGGAGAGAACAGGCACAACAGTAAGGAGGGATCGCTGTTTGCTCCCGAAGAAGAGAACCAACATCCTTCCTTCAGGCTCCTTGTGCCTTGCAGTAGCTTTAGAGAAAGCAACTGACCAGCTATAGGTAGGTGTATTATTCCTATCCCTGCTTTGCTCTTAATCACTTTTCTAGTCCAAGAGCACTGTCAATACATAACTCCTCCAGAGCAAAGAGTAAAAGGAAAAAGAGGCAGAAATCTGGTTAACACATACTGGTTCTTCTCCAGAAACATCCTTGGATAGCCGACTCTGGATTTTAATACAAAAATGTTTATTTGTTATTGTGTATCTTAAGCAGATGAGAGCAATGTTCTTTTCTGTACCAGTCTCTTTCTCCTATTACAATGCACCTCCTGCTTGGGGAGCCAGAGGCTCAGAAGCAGATTCTGTGGCACCAGAGGCAGAGGCCCCAGCAAGGCAGAGACAGAAGAACATCAGGTTCTATCCTAGCATCACACTACTGCATCCTTGATGCCATGAGGCAGTGTTGTTATTTTGGTGTGGTTTTGGTTTGTTTTTTCTTTTTTTTTTTTTTTTTTTTTTTTTTTTGGCAACCTAGCAGTCCAATCCCTTCTCTTCTCAGTGGCAGAGAGGAACAAGGAGGCTGGAAGAAGGATAGGACGGACATGCCTGCTCCTGGTATAAGTTTAGACTTAGCCCTATGTCCATCAGCAAATTCCATAATTGGGCTTGCACTAACCAACTGAATCTCTTGCTGAGAGTTCTGCAGCTCTTCTACATGTGTGTAGTTTCTGAAGCTGGCCAGATCAGGAATGTTTTATGTCATTCTTCCCAGGATGGAGGCCGCTTCATCTTCTCACATCGAGTGAGTTCCCATTTTCCCCCTCCATGAAGTTTCAAAATCCAGTTGTGGAACTGCAAATCCAATGCCATAACAAATGTGAGTTGCCTCTGTGAGGGCACGTCCTCCTGTAATGCAGCTCTCTAGCCTTTTGCTTCCCTCTGCTCACCAGAGATGCCCTGATTTCCTCATCTTGCCCCAAGGCATGGAGTGCTGCTCACTATCTCACCTTCTTCAGGCTGGCCCTGTGTCCCACGCTGATCAGAGTCATGCCCAGCTGAAGGCACACACGGTACAGGTCATGTTCCACCTCTTCTGTCAAGGCACTGGTGGCTTCATCTAGCACTGAGAGACAAGTTGTAAGTTCCACACATCTCTCCCCTCCCAGCTTGTCATCATCTTCTGCTGAAAGCATTTCCCATACTAAGTGTAGCTCACCAAGAGTATTTGCAGAAGGCATGTGAGGAGAAGCTTAATGACCTCAATGATGCAGCTGGTGCCAGCTATATGGGAAGGCTCCCCTAAGCCCTCAAGTCCACCCAAACAACACTGGTTGCCTCATTCATCTTCCTTAAAAGCTGCACATTGCTGTACTGCCCTCACCATTGTGATAGCCAAGGTGTTGCCTTCCCAAGACTGCACACCACTGTGCCTGGCCAGGGACCCATATACAGCAGCCATGATGGACTGGGGCAGCTCCCTGTCAGTTAAGGGTAAGTACTACAGACCAGAACAAATGAATTCTATTTATCTCACATAATCTACAGCTTTTAGTTTCCAATCCATGAGTCCCTGCACTGAGCAGTGCTGTAGACTTCAGAAGAAGAGCAGGACTTAAACATGGCTTTTGCTGCTAACATGGCTCTGCTCACCCACATCTACTTTGGCCCGACACCTCTTCCAACAGCCCTCAGCAGCTACTAGCCATTTAAACATGTAAATGAATTAGGAACCACCTGCAACTATGAGCTTCTTTGTTCCATGCTATGCAGATAAACATTTTCACCTCTGAATCCTGTGTGCTATACTACCTAATATCACCATTATGGCCAAGCCTCTGCACCAGCTTTTGTTTATGGCAAAGGTCCTGCCCCTCTTCTATAGTCACTCACTCACCCGCATATCTTGGCTGAAGGTAGAAGAGCCGTGCAAACGAGAGCCTCTGCATCTCACCTGGGGACAGCACATCATACCTGCAGCAGGGCCGAAATAAAAAAGTCTCCCTTAACAAAAACATCTTTTTTGTGAAACAAGTTTATGACTGACGTTGGAGACCCCAGCAAACAACTGCCCCTGTGCTCAGCCCTCCATGTTGGCACTGGCTCTGCACCCCTATGCACAGTCACTTTCCTGAAGAGCAACATGGTTGCTGATGTGGAAATTGATGCTTGGGGCATAATTCCTTCAGCCCCACGTACTGCTTACCACCCACAAGACAAGTGCACACAGAAGATGCTCCTAAGACCAGCAACAACAGGCAACTGCTTAGAAGCTCCCCAACCAGAGGGAACATATAAATTCACACAAACAGTGAGTGGTCTTACCAGTTCCAGTCCACCTGCTTGTCCAGTCCACCAGCCCTTGCCAGCAAATCAGTCTGCAGAGAGCACAGCAGACTTGTGAACACAGCCCCAACCCTGCCAGCCCAGAGGGGACACAGCCCTAAGATTTACCATCTTCTTCCTTCTACCCTTTCTTCTCCAACTTGAACTGCTCTGCCTGTTCCCAGGACAGTCCCATCTCAGCTACAGACCATTCCCCGCCTGTGTCCAGCATGTGCTGCCACAATACCTCATTCCTTCTTCCCTCTCAGTAGCACCGGTCAAGAAGGCAGCAATGCCACCAGGGACTCACCAGCCCTGCCAGCTCCAGGAATTGCACAATTCTCTCATCATCCGCAGATCCTAGGGGAGAAAGCATGTAAGTACAGGAAACATGTTGGAGACCATTGCTACAAGGAGGAATTGGTCAGACTAAAGGGAAGGTTTAGAGAAGCTCCTGAGGTCCAGCATAGCTGACTCAACCACTTAACTGTATCAAGTCCTGAGCTTTGGCACACAGAGGGCTCCCAAAGACTGATCCACCTTAAGCTATGTCTGTGAGCAGCACACCAGAATATGGCTGGGCTCCACAGACAGACCTGAGGCTTGGCACAGATAGACAGACAAGGGTCTAGGCTTCACTCTGACAGAAACTTAAACTTGGACATCTGTAAGATGTGGCAGCTTAAAATTGGAGGTGTGATTTGGCTTGGGAAGCGGGCAGGGAAGATAAAGGATCCACATGGTCTGACCTCGACAGCGTGTAAGGTCATGAGACCTCAGCTGAAAAAGAGGAACAGTGAAAGCCAGAGGTGTATGGAAAATAAGGATAAAGTGTATGGAAAAATGGATAAAAGTAAAACTGGCTTCCAAAGAGCAGGCTATACCAGACAGATCAGATGTATTCTAGCAGCATGTTTAGAAATCAGCAGGGTGCCTGAACATGTATCATATATGTCACAGTACAATATGCAGAGTACTGCCAACCTGTCCTCACTGTATAAAGAGATTGTATTCTCCTCAAAAGAGGAAGAATGCAAACCCAATCCAAAGCTATAGGAAAGTTAATATTCCAGGGAAAAGCAGAGTGCAACGAAACTGAAACAGAGCATTCCTGGTGCGGTACTGTAGAGGAGAAGCTACACTGGGTACAGAATACAGAGCTGAAACCACAAGGATTAACAGCTTTAATGAGTTTCCTGTTAATGTACCTGAAACTGGATAGATCTCCTTCAGAGGATAAATCACCTGTTTTAACGAATAAAAAGAGGTTGTGTTAGAGGGAGCTGGACACAGTCCATCAGGGACAAAATGACGGTGGCACAAGCTCAGAGGCAGCAGGGCTGGGGCCAGCTGTCCCATGGAACAGACCCGGGGCTCACCTGCTCACGCAAGCTGCCATCAGTGAAGAATGGCCTCTGCGGCAGGAACACCACTCCTCGGGGGCCAAAGCAGGTCAGCATCTGGATATTCCCTGCACAGAGACACACTCACGTCAAGCTCGCAGCACCTGCTTGCAACTACCTGCCACTGCTGTGGAATAACAAATGTCAAGAAAAGGTGGATTTCCAAAACAGAGCAAAGCAATGAGAGCCAGAGCATAGTCTGTGATTCAGAAAAGGAGCAGCTCAAATGCATCAGTGACACATTCACCAATGCAAATGGCATTGGCCTCACGACTTCTCACTGCCAACTTTTAAACTCAGCTAGGACAGACTTAATTGATGAAGAGAAGGCTATGGCAACTTGCAGTCTTTACCCTGTGTGCTCTCCCAAAGTCCCCCGAGGACCCTCAGGAGAGATGTCTTCCCTGTGCCAGTATTCCCCATGATCATCATGCTGTCTCCTTGTGAGATCCTGAGGCTCAGGTCCTTGATGAGTAGCTTGCCAGAGGATGGCACTGAGAGCGTCACTTGCTCCAGAAGGAAAGCTGTGTCCCTTGGCTCCGAGTCCTCCCCAGAGTCACTGCTGGACCACCACAAAGACAAAGAGATCTGGGGGTAAGTGACAGTGCTGAGGCTGGTAAAGACCAGGAACCTTCCCATGCACCTTAGACATCCTGCACCTCTGTAACATTAGCCTTGCCACACACATCCCAGGTTACAGTGAACACTGTGCTGCTAGTTCCAATCAACTGCAGGCAACAGGCTGCAACTCCAAGGGTCACCTCCACCCAGTGACAGCCCCACATGCTGGCATGTAAGCTGCAAGCCAACATGCTGCTGAGGGTAGACTCACCTGTCTGAGTCCCAGTCTTTGGCTTCTGAGTACCTTTCATTTTCTCTTCTGCCAAGGCTCAGCAAGGTCTCCTGCAGTTCACCAATCCTAGACAAACAAGAAGTTCCACGAATGCCAGGGGCAATTCCAAAACTCCTCACTGCCAACCTTGTCCATAGTCACTCAAAAGCGTTTCCTACGTATTTAGCAAAGACCTGGGCACAGTCATATCTCACACTCACCTCTCTTGCAGAGACCTGCCAACACAGAAGCTCACCTGTGTGTGTAGCCAGCAACGTCGGTCACAGTGCTGGAGAGATCTATAAGCTGGCTGAAGCAGCTGATGAGGTAGATGGAAACAAAGGCATTCTGAGGAAAAAAAAAAAAAAAAAAATCCAACAACAAAGCAAGGATCAGCACTGACATGGGAAGCTTGCCCCCTCTCCTATGGTTGCAAGAAAATGGCTAAAAAGATCAGCTGGGTCAGCAATCCTAGAAGGATGAAGGGGAGTGAAGGAGAAAATGGCTACATTCAGACAGAACAGGGCTTCCCTGCTCCGTACAGCAGTTCCAGCTAGAGGCTACACCTCCTGCCATTCAGGAATGGTGTCTGCAAAGTGTCTGTAAACTCATCCTGTCTGAGTTACACAGACCCATGCCACCAGCCATGCCCTAGCATGCTACATGGTTCAGAGCTGGCTGTTTCAGCCTGCAGTGCTCATTTAGCTATTTTTATTTCTGTATTCTCCATCACAAGCCAGTTTTGAGTATCTAGAAACAACTCAGGCTGGGAAGGCTCCTCTCCAGCAGCCTAGTGGGTGAACACAAGAAAGCTCAGACTCAAAACTGGCCATGGACAGCAGCCACGGACATAACCCAGATCTGCAGCACTCTGTGGGCCTAGCACCAAAAACCCAAACGTTCTGATCTCCCTTTTTACATACAGAAGTATGAGTTAGGTAGCACTTTCACCCCCAGTTTAGTCACACGCAAGCTCCTATTCTATGTCACCATGAGCAGGATCAGTCTATCCTCAAGGTCACTTGCTGCAACTTAGTCAGCCCCCGTGCCACCAACCCAATGCAAAACTTCCATCCTCAGTGCCTGCTCACCCTCCACAACAGGGTTTAGCCACATGAAATCAAACATAAGCCTTAGTGTTGGCTCACCTCTGGCATTGGGGATCCCCGTACAGTTAGTAAGCACAACCCACACAGCACAATTCAACCCCTGCCCAGTGTGGAATATGATCTGTAGCTCACCTTGCTGACCAAGGAACTGAGTTCTGTTGGACTCAGGTCACCATAGACCCCAGAAAAGATAGGAATGGCAATGATCACGTAACTCAGGATGCTACCCAGGTAGTCAAAGGTGTTGATGCCAACTGGGCAGAAGCACATGGAGAGGAGACAGTGAGTTGGAGTGGGAACCTCTCTCCCACCAGTCCCCAGTGCAACCCATAAGCCCACTCAAAAGGAAGACCCAGATCCTGTCTCAGCCTTTCAAAATGCACCTGGGCATAAAAACCCATCTTACAGGACAGCACAAGCACTGGATGAAAAGAGCACCTTGGGACAGGCCCCAGAGTGGAGAAACATCACTCAGACACAGCTTGGAAACCACCAGGGTGCAAAAACCACTTTTTCTGCTTGTTTTTGCTCTTTAGAGGACTGGCTGGCTCTAGAGAAACAGGAAAAAGGGCAAAAAGGAAGTTCTGGGCTGAGATGCTTGGCTATGAGGTCTACTTTGCAGCATACAAGTAGAAAGACTTAAGCTGCCAAAAGTACCACAGAAACAACTGTGCTCAGGGTTCTCCCTCTCTCGTTCTGCTCAGAAGCTCATCATGCAGGAGAAATGAAGAAGAGCTGTCTTGACACTACTTAGTCCCCCAAACCTAGAGCCAGTGACAATGAGAGGAGGAAGATTTTTAGGAGGCAATTATAAAGGGACAAGCTTTATAGGAAAGAAATCCTACAGCTTCCAACCACATACACAGAGTCTTCTCCTTCCCCATAACCTAAGAGCTACCATAAGCTCCAGCTCACCACCCAAGGTCCCCCACTCACTGTAGAGCCACAGCTCCTTGCCTATCAGCTCCCTCTGGGTCTGCAGCAGGCTCTGCAGCCTGCGGTCAGTGCGCATGTGCTCCACTCGCCCGGCCCTGTAAAATAAGATTGCACCATCACTTCTGGGAGCGCCCCAACAGGTTGGAGCTGAGGCCTGAGGATGGCCTGTCACTGCAGTCTCCAAGGTTT